ATGGGAAACGGGAAACAAGACTTTAGTGTTATTTTTCTTGATGAAAATACTGTTTAAAAAACATCCATTTCCAGGCTTCACTTGGCCGACTCTGGCACATGTGGCTCAGTTCTGATAATGGCAAAGATCATATGGGCCTCATCTTAAAATATATTAAATATAACATATTGAAATAAACATTGATTTTATTAAATGCACAGCAATGTCTAACCGACTTTTTGACAATTTTGAGGTTATTTGACAATTCAAGTCGCAAATCAGAATTGCTGTTTGATCATATGCTGTCTGAGAAGCGGCTTTCTGTGTGTGTGTTTCAGGTGTGTGTCAGACAGCGCAAGTACAATCGAGTTCATGCCTTATTGAGAATGATTTGCTAACGTTCCCATTAATTAAGAAAGCGTTATTTCTAAATGTTCCCTAAACGCAACGTATTTCACAAAATATTTCTTCTTTAAAGGAACATTCTGTATTTTTATCATTTTACATATGAGAATGTTACTTTAAATGTTCTCCTACGTGAACGTTCAATTAAAATATTTCTTAAAAAAAAAAAAAAAATCTGTCAGTGAAATTTTGCAGAGCAATAGTAAATGTGAGCGGACGTTAACGTTAAAAACGACAAAATCTGAAGATTTTACACTGACCAGCCTTATTTCAGACTCACCTGTGGAGCTCTTCTTCACTGGAGAATCCTCCATGGCACCCTGAGCAGTTCGGCCATTCGTCTCTGTCTCTGTCGGCTCGACAGGAATTTGACCTGGCAGTGGAGGGTACAGAAACCCTTCGAGGCTTTCGGACCCGGACAAAGAGCACTTGCTGCTCTGTTGGCTTCGGCTATCCAAGAAACCACTCCACCGCCATTCAACGACGTACGAGCCGCGGCTGCTAAGGCTTAACCACTCTCCACAGAACCTCCTCTCTACAATGTCCTTAGAGAGGGACAAAGATGATGATGACGTGATTCCCACAGACGAATCTGTGGAAGCCGTTCTCAAGGATCTGGAGCGACCTGAGTTTGCAAAATTTCAGATGTTTAATTTCTTCTCATTATTTTCATTATCATAATGTTGGAGAAAAAATGGCGATATTTACCATGATTGGGCTTGACGCCGGAGTGATCTGGTGCAGGGGATGAAGGCTCAGGAACAGGCTTTGGCTCCAGATCTGGTGGAGGGACAAAGGGCTCCACATCATCCACAGCACAACTGAGGCAACAGCAGTGGAAATACCTCTTCGTAGCCTTCCACACCCTGTTGAGGAAACAACCAATTCCTTTCCTCTCCCTGCATTCTCTAGGTTTGTCTGAAAGGAAGAAAAACAAATGAAAACTATTAGCAACAGAAATAGAAAATAATTTGCATTATGGGAATGTTAATTTTGAATGGTCTATGAATGTTGTGAAAATGTTACATAAATGTCCAATTTTAAACAATTTGAATAATCAATGGCAGTCATCACATCAAATTTTTACTTTATTATTTTTCAAATCAGTCAGAGATGGAGACTGAGCCATAACATCTTTATTAAAGCATATTCTGACCTCTGCCAGAGCGTTTAGATGGAGTGGACGACGGACGTCCATCATCTGGCCTCTGCTGGCTGCCGCTCTGCCCCGCTTTCTTCCCGTGAGCCTGACCTGTGGACACAGAAACAGAAAACTCAGAAGACTGAGGTGTTAAATCTCCAGAAAGCTCCTGGATCTGTGTCGGGTCTGGCAGCGGATCCTCACCACGGTCATCAGAAGCGGGTCTGCAAACCTCCTGACCAGCCGTCTGAGAGAAAGCAGTTCTCCGGGGTCTGGAGCGGCCTGAGGGTGGAATATATTTCACACATCATAGTTAGTAATGTTTTAATAATAATCCTTCATCAATGTCAGTGGTCAATTACAAATTGTTACAATTGAAATGTTGATTTCATCTGCAAGGAATCCAATGCGATATGTGATCACTTTGCTGAGGAATCACCTCGCACAATTTCCATCACATATTACCGTATTAAATCATTGTACAACATCACCATAACATACCATAAACCAAAAAACTAAAGCCCTCACCTCCTCTTCCACCTATCCGGTGAACCATGATCACTGCAAGGAAAAAAACAAGAAGTTAGCCTACAAAATACAATACAAAACAATACTCAGAAATACTCATGTAAAACTAAAAAAAATAAAATAAAAAAAAGAATTAAAAAGTAAATAAAACTATTCTAAATCAGAAAAGAACAATAAAATAAAGGAAGCTATAATCAGAAATTATATGAAATCTTTAAAAAAGCTTAAAAACTCGATAAAGGATATATCCTCCGATGATGTCGTTGTAGAATAAAGTCTTCTTTCAGGAAACAGCTTCAAAATCTCGCAGAAAATACTCTGGAAAAGTCTGAAAATTCGCCTCGTCTCTCAATCAACAGAAAGCGATCGGAATTCGAGTCAAAATATGTAGTGAGATTTCATAACACGCGTTGCCATGACAACTAAAATGCGCATCCATCGTATGAACGCACATTTTGCTATAAAATAATAAAAGGCTTTGCTATTTCACAGAAAATAAATTTTTTACAGCTTTTTTATGTGATCTTCATAGTAACTATACTTTTCTAATTCTTTCAAAACCACAGAAAAAAATAAGTTTATAAATGTTAATAATGTTGTGCCTTATTTTTCAGACTCTTCTCATTTACAAAAAACATATAGCCTATAATGTTATTGCAACGAAAAAATACACAATAGCTTTTGAAGTATCACTTCTTGTTCTTTGTATATTAACTGGACTGCAGCTCAAGTGTGTCCATGATGACATTGTTTGCAATGTACGCGGGTTACTTAATTTTTTTTAATGTATAGTTTAAATGACAAGTTCGATATTAATATATTGAACTGCATATAAATAATTAAAACATAGTTAATTAAATAAACGAAGAAAATATATTGAATGGACTGTAATAAAATAGCATATACGTCATCGGTTTTATTTTATTTATTTATTTATTTATTTTTCTAAAGAATTAGAAAACTAAATAGTTACTATTATGGAGAGCAGAAACCACACCATAATAACCATAATAATAATAATGATAAAAAACATTTTAACATTCCTGTAATCTGTGCTGTTGTAAAAACAATCTCTAATAGTATGAAGCACACACGTCATATAATTACTATAACATAACAGAAAATCACAATTTTCTTATTTTAGATGTTCTTTCAGTTTTCACTTTAGTTAGCCTTTTTACTTTGTAAAATCCAAACGCAAGAGGGCAGAATAGCATCATATACTGCACTCATTTTTTGTAAAAAATGGAAGATTAAAAAAAAAACTTAAATAGTCAATTATTTTACAGTCATACCCTTAATAACAAAATGTTGTTGTTTTTTTGTTTTGTTTTTTGTTTGTTTTTTTGTCATGCCAATAAAGCTTTCTGAATTTAATTGAAAGAAAGAAACTCGATCGCCTCCTGGAGGACAAAGGAAGAATGACGAGGCTGAGCTTTTCCTTTGCTGCACTCACAGCAGACAAAAGCCAGAGAGAAAGCAAAATGTAAGAAAAGAAATCGCATTTGAAAGGATAAAGGCAAAATCCTGAAGTGAATGATCTGAGTGGTGAAGATGAAGCAAAAGCTTACAGCACCTATACTGACCAATCATTGAGTGCCGTTGAGCAAGTTGAGGAGCTCAATCAACCAATCATTGAGCGCCGTTGAGCAGGCTGCTTCCTCAACCCACCAATCAGATGGCCTCATTGACTGACCGTGTCAAATGCATAATCGGAGTGACAAGCGTAAACAATCACTACTATCATCAGTGGACTGAGATCGGTGACAGCAAACAAGAGGTAAATTCAGTATATTCTCCAGTATATTCATATAAATGCTTTCTAACAGTTCTTTTTCTGCATGGATTTCCGTGCAGTAATTACAAAGTTATTATAATTGTTAAAGTTTTAAAAGCATTAACGTTAATAGGGAAAATATAATCGCGCATCTACTAACATGAATAGTAAACTGTAGTAATTATTTATAGTCTTTGTAATGTTTTACTAAAAAAGTAAATGCTTTGAAAATACCCAAACACAACCAGGGCTGGGCATTAGGATTACTATCCAAATACAGGTAACGTTAGATGTTACCTATGACTAGTAACGCTATAGGTCACCAGTTTGTCCTGTTGCAATTGACTACATACTGTACATTTAAATAGTTAAATAGGCCTGTTTTGTCCAGCTATCCTCTCCACTAATCTAAACTATTTTGTCTCATAGTAACTGATAAGCCATTAACAGTCAATAACATGTTAAAACACTGAAAACACAAGGCAAGCAAAAATATAGTCTAAAATGATAAAACCATTACCTTTTGAACTTTCAGCTAATCACATTAAATATCACATTAAAAGGTAAATCAGATAACATCCATAAAGATTACAGTATTTTTTTTATTATTATTTCACACCTTTTTACTTCTAAGCAATAGTAATAGCAGTACTATTACTTGTACACATGTTTTGCATCTCCTGGTCTTCCAGTGTTTAGTCCCCTGTGGAGTTTGGAAAGAAGAAACTAATCTGAATCTGTTTCTGTTTTATAACAACAGATAAAAAGCATGGATTTGGCGGGACACAAGTGCAGTGTATGTGACAGGAGTTTCTCAGTGAAGTCCAACCTGACTCGGCACATGCAGCTTCATGGTCCGAACGAGGAACATGTGTGTGAAGTGTGTGGGAAAAGCTTCTCACTGAAACAGCAGCTGAGCAGCCACCAAAAACAGCACCTGTACCCATGCATCCGTCTGTACAGGCAGGGAGAGGCCAAGCTGCAGTGGACGGATGCAGCTAAGAGTGTGGCAATGGGCTCCAGCAAAGCAGTAGACCCCAGCTGTCTGGATTCAGAAAAGGCGGAGGCTGCTGCAAAGAAATCTGGAGGGGAAATGTGGAAAGGCCAGCTAGTTGTCACATTCGCCAAATATGAAGGCCAGTCTTTCAGGTGGCTGCTTGAAAATGATGTGGGCTGGGTCATATGGCTGCTGTCTGAATATTGCCAGAAGGGTGAGAAGAACGATCTCCTAAAATGGCAAAAGGAGCGATTGCTGCAGTTCCCGCCTGTCACCTTCCATCTTGACAAACGCTTGGAGGTAACTTTGACCCTTTAACTGAGATTAAATAATATTTACCTTTTTTATATTTAATTTATTTATATTTTTGTTTATTAAAAATTGAGTGCATGTGTAAATCAGTAAGGCACATGTAACGCACCTTCAATAGTAAAATCATCAATGTTTACTCTGCACAAAAGCTTGTGCTTTAGACGTAGGAAGAGGTAACAGTGTTAGTATTTGTGTTTATGTGGTACAATACAACTTTGTATGTGTTTTTCTACACTTTCTTTATTTTTGGCATGAACAGGAGTCAAGGAAAGACAAAGGAAAGAAGGCTGAATCTACCCTTTCTAAGTTCCAGCAGGATCCTGACTATGCCAGTGATGCTGAATTGTTGGCAGCTGCTGGTAATTAACATTTAACACACCATAACTCTATTTTAAAATTCATAGAGCATTTTCTTTCTTACTGATGTATTTCAGACATCTGACTAAATACACTGCCGAAATATCACACATTTTATGGCACTGATAATGACGACAGTAGGTTTAGTGTTTCACTTTCATTTTCAGCAGGATGAGGGATATTATCAAGCTAGCTGCCCTTTTTCAGTCTAACAGATTTAATGTCTAAATGATTTGTTGGCATTTAGATAACACATACAAAAATCAATTTAATTTGTAGATGTGATATGTTGGATTTTTTTTTATTATATTACAATATTTTTTTTAACTATTGCCTATATTTTTGTAGCAACTCTAATGTATACTAAAATGTTTGTATCAAATATAATTTGTGTTTTCTAAAATACGATCTGATAACATGGAAAATAGAAACAAACTTTGTTTATTGTGATAATGCTTGTGTTTGTCATTATATTTACATCTTAAGCAATGTGCTCAATACATTTTGTCTGATTTTTTCTACAGAGACTGTCCTTGAAGAGTCTGAGGTAGCGGTCTCCACACAGCTGACCACCTGGGGAGAGCTCACACCGGCCGTGAGTCAGGACTCTTCCCACAGCCTCAGCGCATCTCAGGGAAGAGCTTCTTCCCCTGTAGACACCTCTGCCTCTGGCTTCTTGCTGGAGGGCTGGCAGAAATACTGGGAGCATCCACCTCCATCTACACAAGCCAATGGTATAGCTCCTCCTAACATCAAGTGGCTGAAATGTGATGAGATGTGTGGTCTGTTTGAGAGACCTTCCAAGTACTAAAATGCCAAAGGAGAGATTGTGGAGAGAAGGCTTTTAAAGGAGAAGATGGAGTTTCACACACCCCCAATTCCTACTTCTGTCAAGGGAGGACTGCCCGACATGATGGCCTTTTTCACAACCCCTGTCTTCTTCTGGCGCCCAGTTGGTGTGATGCAAGCCAAGATCCGCTGCCCTGCTCCAACTGCCCCGCACCACCAGGTGAATACCTTGAGAAGAAAGGTTTTGGTAGTTATGCCAGGCAAGTGTGTGGGATGAAGTACAATTACACCCTGTTGACGGAGAAGCTGAAGTGTTCACATTGTGAAAAGATGAGGCGGGCAGTGAGTAAGACACATAGTGACGCAGACGGTGAAGATGAGGACAGTCATCATGTTCAACAGTACATTTGGCTGGCACACAGTCCCAAGAGTCTGATGAACTTGGCCCCGGCCATCAGAAGCATGTTTCCTGCCATACTGTGTGGGAAGCGTGCTATTGACAAAGGTGTGGTTACTCTTCTGAATGACAGGGTCAACAGTGTGTCCATGAACAAAGTTCAGAGACTGCTGCAGCAGGGACATGATGAGTGGTACGTGGAGCACCGTGACCTGTACCAGACTCTCCTGTACGAAGCCCACACAGCTGGATCTGCATCGTCTCAGAAGAGCGTCCTGTCCTTTGTCAAAGCTGCTGGTACTTACACCCCTCCTCTGCCCCGGACTCCCCTTCCTTCTGCCCGTGTGCTGAGGCGTGCACACATGATCATGGAGATGGAGAAGATGCCTGTGTACAGAGCCTCAATCCTCAGTGTGACTGGAGAAATCCTCTGCATTGATGGTGCAAAGAAGGTGTGTGTGTTGTATCAATTCATGAAGTTACGCAGACTTAATATTTACTTGAGCCAGCTTATTGTTTTGAATTAGAGACTTTGGCCTCACTGTTCAGCTTTCAAATGTGATACAAAATGTACATAATTTATATAAATTATATTGGGCAGACAGGTTATTGATAGAAACTATCAAATGGATGTTCTGCTTTGTGTTTTCCAGGTCCTTCAGAAGATATATGGTGATGGCCAGGGCACCATGCAGTATATCACCAGTGTGCTGAACGAGTGGGCCAGTTCTTGACCACGGTGGTGGTGGCAGCTGAGTCTGACGGGTGCTACAGACGTATGGCCAAAGGTCTGATGGCCCGCTTTTGACTCCTGGCAACCAGGAGTTTCAGACGAGGACATGATAGCCTTCCTCAAACCTCACCAGGGGCAACATGACATCATGACTTTTGCGTAAACATACACGCCACTTTCGAGTCAAGTGGCGTGTTATCTCTACGCATTTTGAGCTATCCGTGTGTATCCGCGTGTTTGCGTGTATGTCTACGCCATTAACGTTCGCGTCATTCCGCGTGTCTGAACACGACGTCAAATCTCCAGTCATAAATGCCATTAACCCCAGTGACGGTTAAGTTTAGGGATGGGGTTGAGGTAAGTCATATCTTTTTCTTTCCTAGGATGGTAAGGGAACAGTCATAAATGTCATTAACCCCAGTGACGGTTAGGTTTAGGGACGGGGTTTAGGTAAGTCATATATTTATATAACGTTAAGTCAACGGCGTTCATAAACACGCTGAAAAGCAATTATGCCTCTTGATAGCATGCCAAAAATGGAAATCCGAATTGGCGTGTCATACACACGCTACTTCATGAGATCAGTCTGCCAGGGGCCTCATTTATAAACGTTGCGTACGCACAAAAGAAGGCGTACGCCGCTCTCTACGCAATAGTTGGCATTTATAAAAAGCAAACTTGACGGTAAAATGTGCGGTCCTTCACGCAAGCTCTGACCCAGGCGTACGCACAAAAAACGGGTGAAATGAGAAATGGCGACACCGTCGGCAGATGGAAAAAACATGTGAAAGTGTGTGAAACTGTAGACGGTTGTGTAAAATAAATGGCAATACTGCCTCTCATAAATAACACGAAGATTTCACAAAGCAAGTGTTACAATCAACAGCCTACACGAACACGCGTTTGATCGATCTGCAACAGAAATGCAAATTAATATTTCCAATGAGAAAAGTGAAATATGTTCGGCAATAATATTGGCATGTTATACAATTCATCCTCATAAATAAGATGGTAAACGGAAAGAAATAATGTACAAAACTGATATTCTCGCCAATGTGTCCGTCTGGCAGAGCAGATATGCAATTAGATAGTCAGTCAGAGAGATAGATAATTAGGGAGATATATAGATAGATTTAAAGACACATAGATAAATAGTTGTATTATTTGTCCTCTGGTTTTCATTGTTTTCATAGTATAAATGTCTTCATCAGCTACGGAATCATGGTATTCATGCATATGCCTTTAGTTTGTTTTATTTTTGATAAAATAACGTATGACGTAGCCTATGTCTCAACCATTCAGAAAGCTGCAAGAAATTACATTTGTGCTGAACTATTTCCCATTTCCAAGTAGATTATAACCAAGATCTGTAGCTTGTCAGATGCAATTAAATGGATGGAAATAAAATGCCCCAATGCGTAATGACGCACAATGGCTGATCTTGCGCTCTTAGAAGATGTGGCAAATGGAAGGATTCGGAGTGAACGCATCTTCAGACAGCAAGAAGATTTGCTGGCAAATGAGGACGAGTGGCTTATGAGCCGTTTCCGACTTCCTCGAGCCGTCCTGTTGGACCTCTGCGGTCTTTTGGCCCCAGCGTTACAGAGGAGCACTCGGAGGAACCATGCCGTGCCAGTCCCACTTCAAGTCCTAACAACACTAGGATTCCTGGCGACTGCCACTTTTCAGAGGGAATTGGCTGACAGGTCAGGTATATCTCAGCCGACCCTTAGCCGGATAATGCCAGACGTGTTAAAAGGCATAATAGCTTTGTCCCATGAGTGCATAAAGTTTCCATACACGGCGGGTGAACAGGCAAACAAGAAAGCTCAATTTGCAGCTATGTACGGTTTCCCAAACGTTATCGGTGCTATTGACTGCACTCATGTTGCCATAAGGGCACCGAATGTGAATGAAAATGCTTTCATTAATCGAAAGCATTTCCATTCGATCAATGTCCAAATTATTTGTGATGCAGACATGTTGCTCACTAATGTAGTTGCTCGGTGGCCTGGGTCAACCCATGACTCATTCATTTTAAGACACAGCAGTGTTGGGCGCAGACTCGAGGCTGGTGCTGTGCGTGATGGCTGGCTTCTAGGTACGTTTGATTACTAGACATTTCACATTTTACTGTACTTCAATGTCTTAACCCTTTCCCAATCCTTGCAGGGGACAGTGGATATCCCCTCAAACAGTGGCTGCTTACACCTTTCCTCAACCCACATAATGCAGAGGAAAGGCACTATGTCACAGTCTGCGTCTGCACCATCCTGTCTGCGTCACCTGCACTACACTTCCCAGGATCCTTTTGTCTCCTCTCCTGAACTCACTCCCTCATCAGCCACCTGTTCCTCGTTTTGATCATCTGTTTCACCTGTTTCCACTCCATTATGTTTGATTCTTCTGTGTATTTAGTTCCATCTCATTCAGTCTGTCTTGGTCGGTCGATGTTGTTCTTATGTTGAATGTTACCCGGTGTTACCCCGTATTCCTGCCTGTATTTTGTAATAAATCTGTATCTTCGTGTTCATCTGGACTCCTCCTGTTCCTTCTGCCTGCCCTCCTGCACTCCTGCACCACACCCCGTGACAGATCGACCGACCACAAAGCAACATGGACGCCGTGACTTTTCAGGGGGTTCTCCACCCAATTCGGCGGCCCCGTTTGATTCTCGTCCCCAGAAAGCCTGCGCTCACCGTCAGCCCTGCCGAGCCTGCGCTCACCGTCATGCCCTGTCGAGCCTGCGCTTCACGTCAGCCCTGCCGAGCCCGAGCATGAACTCTCCGCCCCGCTGGTTCCGTCCAGTCCTCCCAAGCCAGAACTCTCCTCACCGCTGGTTCTGTCCAGCCCTCCAGAGCCTGAACTCTCTCCCCCGCTGGTTCCGTCCAGCCCTTCCGAGCCTGAACTCTCTCCCCCGCTGGTTCCGTCCAGCCCTCCCGAGTCAGATCTCCCCTCATCGCTGGTCCCGTCCAGCCCCCCCGAACCTGAGCTCCCCTCACCGCTGGTTCCAACCAGCCCCGTCCAGCCATCGCCCGTCCAGACCGTCCAGCCAGAGACCGTCCAGACCGTCCAGCTAGAGACCGTCCAGACCGTCCAGCCCGAGACTGTCCAGCCCGAGACCGTCCAGCCAACGCCAGAGCCCGAGACCGTCCAGCCAGAGCCCGAGACCGTCCAGCCAGAGCCAGAGACCGTCCAGCCTGAGCCCGAGACCGTCCAGCCTGAGACCAGGATCCCACCCAGCCTCCCTCTCCCGCCTCCTCCCATCAGTCAACCGTCAGCTCCGTTTGCCTGCTCCCCTGACCCTGCCTGGTCGCTGGATCCTCAGTTTTCGCCTCCCGCCTCCTCCACCTGGACACTTCCTCGGCCCCTTGTCCCATCTGCTCCCCCGTGGCTCTTACCTCCCTCAGCTCCTCCATGGCCCCTCAGTCCACCACCTCGGCCAGGCTCCTTCGACCCTCCGGATTCCCTTCGCTCCCTCGTCATCCTCCCTTCACCTTTGGACTTCCTTCCCTTGGCTCCGCCCCGTCACGTCAACCCCCCGGTTCTGTCGAGCTCCTCACTCCCTCCAGTCACCCGTCAGCCCTCACTCCCTCTGGCCTCACCGTGTCCCTCTGTGCCCCTGTCATCACTTTGGTCACCTGAGCCTGCGGGGTCACCATGTTCCCTCAGTCCCTCATCAGCACCACACGTCGTCAGTCCCTCAGCTTCACCTTGGTCTCCTCTCCCATCTGCTCCGCCCCTGTCAGTCGGCCCCCTGGTGTCGTCAGCCCCTTTTCCATCGGCTCCACCAGGGGTCCTCCCTCCATCGGCTCCGCCCTGGTCTCACCTTCAGCCTGCTCCGCCCTGGTCTCACCTTCAGCCTGCTCCGCCCTGGTCTCACCCTCAGCCTGCTCCACCCTGGTCTCGCCCTCAGCCTGCTCCACCCTGGTCTCGCCCTCAGCCTGCTCCGCCCTGGTCTCGCCCTCAGCCTGCTCCACCCTGGTCTCGCCATCAGCCTGCTCCACCCTGGTCTCGCCATCAGCCTGCTCCGCCCTGGTCTCGCCCTCAGCCTGCTCCGCCCTGGTCTCGCCCTCAGCCTGCTCCGCCCTGGCCACGCCCTCAGCCTGCTCCGCCATGGCCACGCCCTCAGCCTGCTCCACCCTGGCCACGCCCCACTCAGCCCTCAGATCGTCCCCCCTCCTTCCTCTGTTCTGCGGCGTGAGGTCACGCCTCCCGGGAGGGGGGAGTTCTGTCACAGTCTGCGTCTGCACCATCCTGTCTGTGTCTCCTGCACTACACTTCCCAGGATCCTTTTGTCTCCTCTCCTGAACTCACTCCCTCATCAGCCACCTGTTCCTCGTTTTGATCATCTGTTTCACCTGTTTCCACTCCATTATGTTTGATTCTTCTGTGTATTTAGTTCCATCTCATTCAGTCTGTCTTGGTCGGTCGATGTTGTTCTTATGTTGAATGTTACCCGGTGTTACCCCGTATTCCTGCCTGTATTTTGTAATAAATCTGTATCTTCGTGTTCATCTGGACTCCTCCTGTTCCTTCTGCCTGCCCTCCTGCACTCCTGCACCACACCCCGTGACACACTACAACATGTGCCACAGCCGAGCTCGCGCTATAGTGGAGCGCACCATCGGCCTGTTTAAGGGCAGGTGGCGCTGCCTCGACTGCACTGGAGGGAGGTTATTGTACCCTCCTAAAAAGGTGTCTCAAATCGTACTGGCATGTGCTGTGCTACACAATGTGGCACAGCTTAAAAACGTGCCTCTACCCCCTGACGCCGATTGCTGTGTTGGCCCCAGCCCTGACCCCTATCCCCAGGCATTTGATCCAAATGCTGCTGCTGTGCAACAGCGATTGGAAGTGATGCGTCGGTTGTAAAGAACAACAAAAGGTGTGGAAAAAATATATTATTTATTCAAGAATTCCCTCATTGTGCTGTTTATTTCAGTTAGGACAGTCTTGATGTCGCCCATCAGGGTTGAGTGAAAGTCGAGGGCTAGAGTTGAGAATAATAATAATT